GGTGAGAAAATCTACTAGGCGAAATCTACTAAAAAATCTACTAAAATCGACTACTAAAATCATGCCTCTCAGTTCTGTTAAACGATGAGGCGCCGCGAACCCGCCACCGAGACATTACCAAGCCACATTCTCTACCTCTTCGGATAGAGTATATGTGGCTTGGCATTGCCTCAGTCATAGGTTCACGCCACCTCACAGCCCAACTGAGAGAAAAAGTTAGTGCCATGAAAAAAAAAATATGGCTTGGAATATGTCACATATTTACTTATTTATAAGTTAAATAGTGACTATAAACAATAAGTCATATATGTGCTGTCTTGTGCGAGAGCAGGTTGTAAAGCCCCAGTGGGGTTTCCTCAATTGATGTATATCACGTTAGTGTGATTTTCTGTGTGAATCACCAATGGTGTCTTAAGAAATGTATAAGAATTTAATAATGATGATGTACTGCCAGGAATTATGCGAAGTAGCCAACATTTTCTGATTATTTTCGATGCTTCACTAATACAAGCACATGGCTGTAAAACTGCCGTCCAGTTGTGTGAGTGTGGAGCAGGATTAGTGACTGTGTGACTCACCATAGATGTAAACTGCCTTGTATACTGTTGTGAACCTCTTACTGAATCATTTGTGATATAAAAAGTTTCACATGATTGCCACTTGATTAGATAATGAACTATAGGTAAGTGTTGTTACGAGTGTCTGGTTCAAGGAACAAGAGTTAATATAGCTTGTTTTTACATAATGTTGACAACACACTTCCTTCTGTAAGGAATCTCTTGAACTCACTGTATCTGTATAGCGACGGCCTCGCTTCCTGCAGGTCGGCGTTCGATCCCGGATGGTCCAAGTGCTTGGGGGGCCACCGTTCGTTCATTCCGCCCCCACGATAATCGGATTCAGAGGATTCATTTCTGGTCTCCCAGTGACAGTCTGTCAGTCTCCAGTTTGATCTTATGTAAATATTAAGTGATTGCTTCTTATTTGATCTTTTAGGTTCATCCTTCTCTCTGCTCCTATTCCCCCACCTTCCCCCCCTCCCTCCATCCCCCTTCCCCATCCCTCCATCACCTTCCCTCTTCCCCCCTCCCCATATCTACCACATCCCCTCCCCCCCCCCCAGCCCTCCAGGGATAGCAACAGGGATAGCAACTTTGAGGTCCCAGCGTGACATTTCTCATTTATATTTCTATAAATATTATCTATTCTACTACTTCTCAGATCAAGTAATATATAAATTTTCCTCTGCTATTTTTTCGTATTTTTGATGTGTTTTTTGAGTGGGGGCATTTCGTCTTTTATTTTCGTACATAAAGTACAAATTTCTTTTAGTTGACACCTGGACAGTTATTTTTGCATTAAATGACAGATTTGTTAATATTCAGTATTTAACTGTAGATATGAGACAGATTGTGCTATCTTCCGGCCGTCGCCTTGCGTTGAACAGCATCATGGCCGCCTTTACTCCTGTCTATTTTCATCAGGGGGCCAAAATCCCGGTTCATTTAGCAGCACCGACACTCATAAATTATTTGCCTCCTGTGCTTCACATTTCCACCCTGTCATATATCTTTACTTCTTCCACGCTGTATCCCCGAATAATACAATGGCGGCCATAAATTATGACTTGGGAGGCATTCGTTAACCCCCGTAGGCCTACCCTACTGTGCCTTCCCATAAGCCTATCCCACCATGACCCCATAAATTCTTGCTTTTGAGCCCCGCTGTTCCCCCATGGAGACTGGGGCCGTGTTCGTCATTTGCACGTTACTGAACTGTGTGTGTACTCACCTTGTTGTGCTTGCGGGGGGTTGAGCTCTGGCTCTTTGGTTCCACCTCTCAACTGTCAATCAACTGGTGTACAAGTTCCTGAGCCTACTGGGCTCTATCATATCTACCCTTGAAACTGTGTATGGAGTCAGCCTCCACCACATCACTGCCTAATGCATTCCATTTGTGCGCGCGCGCGTGTGTGTGTGTGTGTGTGTGTGTGTGTGTGTGTGTGTGTGTGGTGGGTGTGGTGTATGGTGGTGGGGGGGGGGGGTGGGGGGGAGGGGTGTTCAATGGGGCGTGGTGATCAGACGCGCGCTGACCCCTGCCTGTGTTTTGAGGCTTGCTGGGGCGTGGTATTGCTGGGTCGCCACCACACACCCGTCTTGATGAATATTTGAACGGTGTGTTTACCTGTAATGTTCAGGGGGGCTGTACTCAAGCGACGGGCACACAACATACACGCTCCTTGGAGCGCCACCACCACTCTCCTTGGGGGCCTTTAGCTGAAAAGCAGCTTTTTGTTTTTTTCCTCTTCAGTATCCCCTTCGTCTATGCAAGTGGACGAAGGATATACTGAAGAAAAAACACTCACTCTCCTACTCACTCATATAGATACGAGAGCCTTTATAGACCTTTTCATAGCTCAGTGTAGCACTAGGAGATTAAAATTAATGCATTGTCTTGGAAATGGAGTTTGGTCCGGTTCTTAGAATTTTTTTTTCAGATAGAGTTCGACGTTTTCTTTCCGAGGGGGGTCCGGGGGGGAGGGGGGAGGACTCTCCAGCGACGTGTACAAGGACTCTAAACGACTCTAAATCACACGGTTTCCTCGTGAGGTCTTTGAGGACCAGCGCCTAAAATTAGCATTCAGGCGAACTGCTGGTGTGTGTGTCCGCCTACTCTCTCTCTCTCTTACACCCCCACTCTTCTTGGACTTCATTTCTTACCCCTCTCTCCCCTTTACCCCCTCTTCCTCCACCTTTATCTTCCCCCTTCCCCTTTACCTTACCCCTCCTTCCTCTATAATCTCTCTCCCCCCCCTTTATCCAGTTTTACTTCCCTCCTTCTTTTTTCTTTCCATTACATGCCCATCCACCATTTTCTGCACTTATCTTTCTCCATACTCTCTCTCTTCCTTCCCTTCCATCGTCCTATTTCCTTCCTTCTATATTATTATTTTTGTTCTGGATCCCTACACTTCCTCCCTCTTGCCTGTTGTCTGTCTCCCCCCCCCCCTGCATCCCTTTCTCCCTCCCTCATTTCCTTCCTCTCCCTCCCTCTTTCCCTCCCTCCCCCTCTATCCTTTCTATCCTTCCCTTCGTCCGTTCCTTTCTCCCCCATCCCCTCCCTCATTCCCTACGTCCACTCCATCCTTCTCTCCCTAACCCTCCCCCCCCCCCCAACCTCCCCCTCCCCCCAAACCTTCCCCTCCCCCCCCAACCTACCCCCCCCCCCAACCTACCTACCCCCCTCCAACCTACCACTCTATCCCCTCGTCTCAAGCATTAACGCTGCATGTTATATTATTTTCAAGAATTATGAATATTCTTCTGATCTCTAGCATCGCGAGAGGCCATAATTACCATGTTGTAATTCCTGGCCTGTGATACGACACACCGGTAATTATCTTTTATATATATAATCTTAAGATTCTGGGAGAAGTCTCCTTTGGCCTCGAACACAGTCAACTCAATTGCTTTATGGGCTTCAATTTGAGTCCTTTTTTTAAAAAGTCGTATTTTAGATGGGTTCTCTGTTTTGAAACGTTGCAAGTAGCACGGGCTATGGTGATCCCGTAGTGGACTTACCTGGCACAGGGCTGTGACTTGTGGGTCTTGGTCAGTGTTTTTGTTCATCTTTTGTCTTGTTTTGTTTTTGTTTGTCGTTCATCTTTGAGTTATTCTGTTACTCTCTTCTCTCTCTCCTGTCTTCTTTGCCTCTTCTTTGTCCGATTTTGTCAGTTTCTTGGTGGCTGTTCTCACCCACTCATTTTTTTTTAAGAATTATTTCACCTTTTCATCGTCTTGCATTTCTTATTGTTTGCAGAAACGCCTTCTTTTGCTTTTTATATTCTGTCTTACCTTCCCCTTCTGTCTCTGTCTCTCTCTGTCTCTGTCTGTCTGTCTGTCTGTCTGTCTGTCTGTCTGTCTGTCTGTCTGTCTGTCTGTCTGTCTGTCTGTCTGTCTGTCTGTCTGTCTGTCTGTCTGTCTGTCTGTCTGTCTGTCTGTCTGTCTGTCTCTCTGTCTGTCTGTCTGTCTCTCTCTCTCTCTGTCTCTCTCTCTCTCTCTCTCTCTCTCTCTCTCTCTCTCTCTCTCTCTCTCTCTCTCTCTCTCTCTCTCTCTCTCTCTCTCTCTCTCTCTCTCTCTCTCTCTCTCTCTCTCTCTCTCTCTCTCTAATCTCTCTCTCTCTCTCTCTCTCCCTCTATCTCTTCTCCTCTTCCTCCCCCCATTCTTCATTATTCCCCATCTTACAGTTTCTTCTCTTCGTTCTTTCTTCCCCCCCCCCACTTACATTTCTAACCCATTTCCATAATCTCCCCTCTCTCTCTGCATCCCCCCTTTTCTTTGCCCATTTCTCCTCCTGCTTCCCCCTTCCCCGCCCACAGCCGCACAGTCATGGATGGACCGGATTTATGGGACACGTTCGGGAAACCACCCATCCCCCCCCCCCATCATTCCCTGAAGCTCCACATCCCCCTCTTCCCCACATTTTTTCCCATCACCACTTGCTGGTTAGCATTGTAAATGTGTGGCCACGTCTGTGGTAGAAAAAAATATAATAATAATAAAAAAAAAAATGGATTGCCCTTAGTTCACCATACTTCACTGTAACCATCACTACTGTTTTAATCTAATTCGTTCACCATACTGCAAACCGAACCTTAACGTAGCCTAAACTAGCCAAAAAAGTACTTCCGTATGAGTTAAATAAGATAAGGCTAATAAAGCAAAATTAAAAATAATTGCATTCCCGCTGCCAAAGCGGCCTAGATACCATAGTTCCCAGAATGCACCTACGGGTTGACGTACCGAAGGGCCTTCGTCGTAAGTGCGTCGGATTGACGCCTTCCCTGGAAACACAAACCGAAACTGTCTCTATTTACCAACTTCCACCTTTGACTGTGCGAAATGTTATGAAGCTTAACGGCGGGGGTGCCTAAGCAAAGGTCAATCACAGGCAAGAAGCCTTACGCTTCTTTATGCGCGACTCAACCCACATCATCCCAGTTACACTTCCCTAACTTGTTTACGGCTATTGTCCCGGCCTGCGGGACTCCTGATACACCTTCCTAGCTTGGCCCTGAAGGATCCTGAAACACCTGGCTTGGCCTGCAGTACCCTTGCAACACCTGGCTTGGCCTGCAGGACCCTTGCAACACCTGGCTTGGCCTGCAGGACCCTTGCAACACCTGGCTTGGCCTGCAGGACCCTTGCAACACCTGGCTTGGACCCAACACCTGGCTTGGCCTGCAGGACCCTTGGAACACCTGGTTTGGCCTGCCCTTGGAAACACCTGGCTTGGCCTGCAGGACCCTTGGAACACCTGGCTTGGCCTGCAGTACCCTTGCAACACCTGGCTTGGCCTGCAGGGAACACCCTTGGCCTGCAGGCAACACCTGGCTTGGCCTGCAGGACACCTGGCTTGGCCTGCAGGACCCTTGGAACACCTGACTTGGCCTGCAGGACCCTTGGAACACCTGGCTTGGCCTGCAGGACCCTTGGAACACCTGGCTTGGCCTGCAGGACCCTTGGAACACCTGGCTTGGCCTGCAGTACCCTTGGAACACCTGGCTTGGCCTGCAGGACCCTTGGAACACCTGGCTTGGCCTGCAGGACCCTTGGAACACCTGGCTTGGCCTGCAGGACCCTTGGAACACCCTGGGCTTGGCCTGCTGGCTTGGCCTGCAGGACCCTTGGAACACCTGGTTTGGCCTGCAGTACCCTTGGAACACCTGGCTTGGCCTGCAGGACCCTTGGAACACCTGGTTTGGCCTGCAGTACCCTTGGAACACCTGGCTTGGCCTGCAGGACCCTTGGAACACCTGGCTTGGCCTGCAGTACCCTTGGAACACCTGGCTTGGCCTGCAGGACCCTTGGAACACCTGGCTTGGCCTGCAGGACCCTTGCAACACCTGGCCTGGCCTGCAGTACCCCCTCAAGCCAATCAAAACTTGGAAAAGTATCCATTTCGGAGCGTCAGTACTGTACTTCGTCATAACTTCCTACCAGATGCATTTACAGGCCTTTTAACCTTGTTTTCTTTTTGCAATGTCCTGCGCAGGATGTGAAGGAAGATGTGGGTGATGTGTGTGTGTGTTATCGCAACAGATGATGTGCGCTAGGGAGTCTATCAACAGCGATCAGCTTAGCTACACGTATTACATTTAATCTATCTCTTTGAAGATCAGTATTAACAAAAAGTCTTATTGATATGTGGTGTGTAAGTGAACCCCCATCCCCCACTGTCCACCCCATCCCCTCCCCATTGTTGGCTAGGCTATCCATTTTCCTTCGGGATGAGGACACCTCCTCCCTCTCTCTCTTTAACCCCCCCCCCTCCCCCACTCCCCCCTCGCTCTCCCTTCCTCTTTTATGTTTATTGATTATCTATTGGTCTTTTCTTTCGTGTGTCTATTAGCTCTTCATTATTCAATGTCGTTTCCCTGTGTCTCACCTTCAACAAACACTACGAAACCGGCTATTGTGAGTCTCGCTTGACCCACAAGGCTATTGTGGGTCTCGCTTGACCCACAAGGCTATTGTGAGTCTCGCCTGGACTTTGGTCAGGCCTGCCCATCCAGCAGCCCTGAAGTGGTTCTCTCGACTGAGTGCCTTCAATTGAGTGCATCCTGTTGAGTGCATTCAGTCAAGTGCATCTAATGGAGTGAGTTCCAGAGTTACGAATGATGTATGTTTCAATTCGTCTCATAGAGAAATAGCGTTCTTAGATACAGATAAACGATAAAAGCAATGGACAAAAAATTATTTTTCTTAAATATTTTGAATTACTCATTTATTTCTATCATATTTATTCATATTTTAATACAATGCATTTATATATTTTCGTTATCTTGGTCAACAACTACTCAACGCTAGGTAACGTGTGGACTAAACCTTGCAATAACCCATAACTTATGTTATTCTCATAACATAAGTTATGAGAATAACATAGAAGTTATGAGTTATTTACAGTAAATCATTTACTGTAAATTTACGTGAACTATCGCAACAATAGAGGTACAAACACTTATGAATATAACATTTGAAAATGGCAAGGCAAATTTTCACCTGGTTTACTAAAAAAAAAAAAGATGAATACACTATAATAACATAACGTTCATTTATTAAGTTATTTAACAAAAATAACTCAAAAAAAGTGAAATTCAACCTGCAACTTAGGAACCCCCTCATCTATATTTGTATTATTGATTTAAAATTCAGCTGATAATCGTAATGAAAATATGAACAAAATCCTGTATGAAGTTTATTAGACATTTAAATTGCAGTATTCTGTTAAAAAATGTTAAACGTTTACTTCGCAAAATTCTACATAAGTAGAAATGAATTCAATGTCAGAGAAAATATTGCAAACACTTAGTCCAGAGAATGATAAAGAATACATAAATATAGCCGGTCGGCCGAGCGGACAGCACGCTGGACTTGTAATCCTGTGGTCCTGGGTTCGATCCCAGGCGCCGGCGAGAAACAATGGGCAGAGTTTCTTTCACCCTATGCCCCTGTTACCTAGCAGTAAAATAGGTACCTGGGTGTTAGTCAGCTGTCACGGGCTGCTTCCTGGGGGTGGAGGCCTGGTCGAGGACCGGGCCGCGGGGACACTAAAGCCCCGAAATCATCTCAAGATAACCTCAAGATAGCACATCAAGAATAGGTCGGAATTCTACTGAATTTTTTGTTAATAAACACGAATTCAACTTTCCGATTTAACTGGATTTATGCTCATAATAGATCTAGACTGTTTAGGACTATTAAAGTATACTTCTTGGTTGGTCAGTAAGGTATTGTGGTGGCTTAATAACCCTCCAGAGGTTGATAGGGTATAACTCCTCCAGAGGTTGATAGGCCTGAATAACCCTCCAGAGTTTGATTGGGATTTAATAACCCTCAAGAGGTTAATTGGGATTTAATAACCTTGCAGACGTTGATATGTCTTAATAACCTTCCAAAGGAAGTAAGCTATAACCCCCCTTTAGAGGTTGATAGGCCTGAATAACCCTCCAGAGGATGATAGGCCTTAATAACCCTCCAGAGGTTAATAGGCCTTAATAACCCTCCAGAGGTTAATAGGCCTTAATAACCCTCTAGAGGATAATAGGCCTCAACCCAACACAGGTGACGATAATACGGAGCTCAACACCCACAGAGGACACTGCACCAAATGCCATCACCTCTGTATAGTGTCATGTAAGTCACCATTATTCACACTATACAATGAAGCCTTTACATAACACTATACACAACTGTAAATGCACAATAGTTTCATATATCGCCGGGACCTGTGGGGTGACTTGTGCCCCCCTCCCCTCTATATATGCGTATAGCCTATAAAGAGACGAAAAGGGGAGGGAAAAGGGAGACAAGAGGGGGGTAAACACCCCCTTAGTTATTCCCCCTACCCCTTACCCCTCTCTATTTCCTCCCTTCCCCCCCCCCCTCTCCCTCGTCTTCCTTCCCCTCTTCCCCCTCCCTCCCTCCCCCTCCCATTCCCACACACACTCAGAGGGTCGTTAGCATGGCCCCAACGAGGTCATTTCCCCCCCTTAACAATGGTATTTTATGGTCTTGTAAACTCTGTTTTTTTGCTGTCATTCCGATTGTAAGCGGCAGTTATCGATCCCAGCGCCACTGTAGGTAAACAGGTTTCTGCAGCCTCTGTTGTGAGTACCACTGTAGGACGGAGGCTTCCTTCTTGATGTGTTGAGGGTCGCTGTAGGGTGGAGGCTTCCTTCTTGATGTGTTGAGGGCCGCTGTAGGGTGGAGGCTTCCTTCTTGATGTGTTGAGGGCCGCTGTAGGGTGGAGGCTTCTTCTTGATGTGTTGAGGGCCGCTGTAGGGTGGAGGCTTCCTTCTTGATGTGTTGAGGGCCGCTGTAGGGTGGAGGCTTCCTTCTTGATGTGTTGAGGGCCGCTGTAGGGTGGAGGCTTCCTTCTTGATGTGTTGAGGGCGGCTGTAGGGTGGAGGCTTCCTTCTTGATGTGTTGAGGGCGGCTGTAGGGTGGAGGCTTCTTCTTGATGTGTTGAGGGGTGCTGTAGGGTGGAGGCTTCCTTCTTGATGTGTTGAGGGCGGCTGTAGGGTGGAGGCTTCCTTCTTGATGTGTTGAGGGCGGCTGTAGGATGGAGGCTTCCTTCTTGATGTGTTGAGGGCTGCTGTAGGGTGGAGGCTTCCTTCTTGATGTGTTGAGGGCGGCTGTAGGGTGGAGGCTTCCGTCTTGATGTGTTGAGGGCCGCTGTAGGGTGGAGGCTTCCTTCTTGATGTGTTGAGGGCTGCTGTAAGGTGGAGGCTTCCTTCTTGATGTGTTGAGGGCTGCTGTAAGGTGGAGGCTTCCTTCTGGATGTGTTGAGGGGCGGCTGTAGGGTGGAGGCTTCCTTCTGGATGTGTTGAGGGCCACTGTAAGGTGGAGGCTTCCTTCTTGATGTGTTGAGGGCGGCTGTAGGATGGATGCTTCCTTCTTGATGTGTTGAGGGCGGCTGTAAGGTGGAGGCTTCCTTCTGGATGTGTTGAGGGCTTCTGTAGGATGGATGCTTCCTTCTTGATGTGTTGAGGGCGGCTGTAGGGTGGAGGGTTCCTTCTGGATGTGTTGAGGGCGGCTGTAGGATGGATGCTTCACTTCCTGAGGTGAAAATTGCTAGAGGGTAGACGGCATGGCTGCTCTTGACGTGGTGATTGCAAGTGTAACTAAAGCAATGTTTACAAACAAAATGAGAACAGTGTTATCATTTGCGATTATTCATTCACAGTTTAACTGGACATATCATAAATAATTCTGTGATTCGAAGCATAACTGTTTTTTTTTATATATAATCGACAACTCATGAACGCAAGATTTTCAATATTTCCTTGAGATCAACGAATTTGTTCCTACACCTGCTACTATATGTATTAAGAAGGCTAGGAGAATCCCATTCAAACCCCCTCTTTATGCAGGTCGGCGTTCAATCCCCGACCGTCCAAGTGGTTTGGGCACCATGCATTCCTTCCCCCTCCCCCTCCCCGACCCCCGTCCCATCCCAAATCCTTATCCTGATCCCCTTCCCAGTGCTATATAGTCGTAATGGCTTTGCGTTTTCCCCCTGATAAATCCCTCCCTCCCCAATTAAACTCTCCTACGGGATTTTTTTCCTGAAAGGGAAAGCCCTGAAAATTCACGAATAACGTTAAATGGATTAAATAAGAAACAGTAGAGCCAGAGGAGACAGGTGGAGGCTGGAGACGGGTGGAAGCTGGAGACAGATGGAGGCTGCATGGAGACAGAGGACCCCCCCCCCCCCCCCCCAGAGACGTCCGGAGATGGAACAGGCTGGAAGAGTAGGCCGTTGGGGGCAAATTCAATGAGCAGCTTCAAATGGAAATACGAAGTCGAACAGAAGTGTGAGAGTCACTGAATTAAGTGATCCGAAGATCGAAAGGCTGGGTCCAGAGAGCTAGTGTTCGACCCTGTACACACGACAAGGTGAGTACACAAGGGAAGGGAACTATCAGGGGGAAAGCACAGAGCCATTACGACTATATAGTACTAGGAACGGGTCAGGATAAGGATTTGAGATGGGATGGGGGGGGGGAGGAATGGTGCCGCCCACTTGGACGGTCGGGGATTGAACGCCGACCTGCAGGAAGCGAGACCGTCGCTCTACCGTCCAGCCCAAGTGGTTGGGTAGAACACGATGAAATAATGGAATGTATTAAGCAGTGATATGGTGGAGGCAGACTCCATACACAGTTTGAAATGTAGGTTTAATAGAGCCCAGTAGGCTCAAGAATCTGTGCACCAGTTGATTGGCAGTTGAGAGACGGGACCAAAGAGCCAAAGTTCAACCCCCGCAAGCACAACCAAGTGATTACAACACTAGCATTTTCTAGGCCTAAAGCGCACATGTATATGTGTGCTTCAGGCCTAAATACTATATGTAGAACATATCTCTAAACCTCGTATATGTAGGACGAAAATATATG